CAATAAATACAATGAAATTGTACTTTCCAATTAATTCATACTGATAAGAATTAATAAATTAAAATTGAAATATATTTTTTTATCCAAATCGTTCAAAAATTAAAATGAAAAACATTTTTGAAAAATTAAATCAATACAACTACATTTGTCTGAATTATGTTTTAATTCATTTTTGTTAATTTGTAGCTTAAGACTAATTCTTATTTTTATGAAAATCAATAGTATTTATCTTTAATGATAAACATTCAATATGTATAAACGAAACACAAATAATATATTGTTTGCAATATTAATTTACATTTTATATTCATTTATCATTATATTTATTGACTATTATTTTTTTTTATAAAATATTTAAAAATGTCTCAATTTTATAATGAAACTTGTTTGTTTTTATTTATTTCTTCAATAAATTATATATTAAATATATTCTTGTTTGTTTATTTTTCATGTCATCAATTAATAATAATTAATCCGAATCAAATACCATCAATTAATTTTATATTTTTTAGTAATATAATTTGTTACAATATTTTAATAATTAAAGATATTTGTGTTAAAATATTACGTATTTTATTTTATGACACAAATTAATGTGTCTATAAAAATGATGATGACTATTTTATAAAATAAAATAAATCTATCAATATCTTGAAAATAACAACAAACATATTTTATTGATTACCTTAGTTATTATACTGTAAGTTGAGATTCTTCAAACAATTAGATATTATTTATTTTTTATTCCTTAAATGATATTAAAAAATTTATTAAAATATAATTTGAAACAACGAAAAATAACAAACCAAATGCTTTTTATTTCTATTGTTGTTTGTATAGAATGGACACTATTACTTGAAACATGAATTTAATCAATAATAAACACAAAAACCGATTTTATTTTAAGAAATCAAATTGACTCCAATAGAATAATTGATATTGAATATTAATTCAATTAAACAATTAAATAATACCATAAAGAAATTAATATAAAATACATTAATACATTGATAAAACAAAAAAAAAACTAATTGAATAAATAAAAACGACTGTAAATCACTAAATTTAAATGAATAATTGAATTAAATGAATATAGAAATCTTAAAAGTTATGAAAAATACAAATTTAGTTGATAAATTAACTGTGTTACAAAAAAAAAAATATTTTTTTTAAATAATAGAGCCAAAAACATTTATTTATTTTTTTAAATAACTAAAGTTTATCTTAAAAACTTATGTCTCATTACAGAACTTATACATATCGAGAGTGTTAAACTTCACGTTTTAATAATGAATGACAGAACAAACAAATATAAGATATAAGAAAATAATAAAAATAGTTAAACCAATGAAAAGGGAATAATTTGGATAAAATGAATGTTTATTTAAAAGGAATAAAACAAAAATTAAATATCAAAAAAAAAAACAAATAAAAAATTTATTAATTAAAAATAAAAGAATGAAACCTTCAACAACAAGAAAGCACGTATATCAAAGATTAGTCAAAATGACAAAAAAGAATTTATCAAAAGAATTAATAAAAAAAGAAATTTATAATGAGAATAATTATAATTCTTTTAAAAAAATTCAAGAAAAAAATAATAAAACATCAGAAATATTAAAAAAGGAAATACAATTAATTGAAAATAATAATAATAAAGATTCAACAGAAGAAATAAATCAAAATTACACAGATGAAACAAGTATAACTGAAGAATGTCAATGGGAATATTCTTTTGAAAAATATAAAGACATGTCATTAGGAATTAAGATATTAATTAAAACAATACATCCAATAGCAAATACAAAATGGATTAATAGATGGAGTAATTTAATAATTCATAACTTAATTTTATATGGAATAACTGTTAAAGAATGGAAAGAAAATGAACTATTTAGAGTATTAGATATTGAAAATTTACAAAGAAAAGTAGTTGATCAAATAGTTTTAAAATATAGAAAACATGAAGTAATAATTAAAGCAATATTTGTTGATAAAGTAAGAAAAATATTAAATAGTATTAAAGAAGGTCATAAAATAACAATTGAACATATTTATCCGTATATATCCATTCCATTTCATTGGGGGTATTCTTGTGACATTGCTTTATTTACAGAAATAATTGAAAAAGGAAATGAAATGTATTTAGAATATATTGATAATCCAATTATTAAATATTATTTATTAAAACATTTTGGAGTTATTGATAGAGAAAAACAAATTAAAATTATTAAAACAAGATTAAGTTATTTAACTTTATTATTTAATATATAATGTTTTTTCTTTATATTCTTCTTATTTTTTGTTTGTTTGTTTAATTAAAATATTATTAATAAGTATTTTACTCATTTATATATGGAAAATACCTGAATGTCTAAATAAAATAACTTATTTCTTTCCTTTCTTTTTTCTTTCTTTAAAATAACAAAATTATTTTTTTTTAATAACAACAAAAATTTATTTATCGTTTTTTTTTGATTTTATACTCTCTCTTTATCTTCCTCCTTCTTTAAATTATTTAACTCAATTATATCTATTCATTTCATTTGTATAACCAAAAAAATTAAACCAAATGAATAAATTAAT